CACTGCTTCTACACTACCCACCACGCTGTTTGGTGGGTTTGTGATACTAACATAATTTTTGTTTATAGCACTTTCAAAAGCATGGCGCCGCTGCTGCAAACATTTCTGGTGCACTGTATTACATATCAGAGACACCCATGGCAATGTTTATGTATGATATGTATTAGATTATCAAATAATTCTGACAATTCATGTTTCTATGTTTGCAAAATTGTATGCAACAGTACTTCTTGCATTCAATTGTGAAGATTTATTGTTTAAGCTAAATATTGACTTATAGAAATGTGTCAAATTCTGGAAAATGTTCTAAAGTGCCATTGATGTGGCTGAATGATAATATTTATTTCCCTTTCTTATTTCTCTACTACAGTTGATGTATCTATATTTATAATGTGTATGTTACTTATGAAAATCACTAGTGAAATAAATTAGGAAAACCACTGTTACAAATAATTTAAGTGAAGTTAACTTTTGTTTTATTTTATTTTGATTTTTTTATTGCATATTTTTTCACTTTTGCAAATCATATTGCTTTTTGTTGAATTTGCAGCTCTCTAGGAAATAATAGTAAGTTGAAATGATGTATATGTCTGTGTGATTCAATGCAGTTAATATTATTGCACAAAGTGAATACCTTGTATATGTATTTTGTTGTTAAATTTGGTTTTATTAATAAAAATAAGAAATGTCACTTAGTAATGGTACTTTCCATACAGAGTTGCTTTTGGTATTAAAAGTACTTTGAAATGGTGATGTATGTGGGAGTTGGTTAAAATATTGTGTTCACTGCACACAATGCACACTGCACACACATAGCTTTATAATTGTTATTGTAATACACCATGAAGTGTTTTATATAAATGTATTACTTAAATTAAAAGGATGTACGTACAATGAAGTTTGTATATGCCCAAAATGTTTTTTCCAGTATCAGTACCAAAGAAATGTTACCATGGACTATAATTGTAACAAATTTGAGATTTCATAAATTCTATGCACTTTGTCTTCATGTTGTTTTCTATCATAGTACCCTATGATTTCCTTTTTTGTATGATAAGTTGTTTCTTTCAAAATTCAAATAATTTTTTTTCTGATACATTCTGGAAAATACTTTCTAGAACTGGTATAAAATAAGTGAGACAAAAAAAAATATTACTTTAAAACATGGGAGGAGAGTCATATCAGATTAACTCACATATGCTCAGAACATTTTTGTCTCCAAACTGAATAATTTTTCATATTATGAAGTAAGTGGCATAACAGGTAATCAAGTTAAAAAAATGTAGATTTCAGCTTCATAGCTAAAAAAGTTTTACTTATTTAAAGTAGTAGTAAGAGTTCTTACACACATTTCAATCTTCGTAAATTGTGGTTCAAGCGTCTCAACAATTTCCTGTCATTCTTAGATTTTCATTTGCATACATTTGCAGATTTTCCACATTTTTGCTATAATTTAAACAATCTATCAGTGTTGCCAGATAGTTGAAAAGTGAATATCATACGGGAGTTATTTCAAATTATCATACATTAATAAAAATAGTTAAAAATTATTATACTTTTTAATGATTTGTTTCAAACATATTATTAAATTATTTTCTTTAATGACATATTTCTAATGGAATAGCAGCGAGGATACAATTAATATAACATAGAGTTTCTTATAACTCTAACTTTTATTAATATGTATGCATGCATATAATATATAACCAATCAAATTTTTTTTTTTATTTACTTGATCATCTACTGAGTCGAACTGAATTTACCACACAACTTCTACTTGATTGAAAACTGCAATAATAAATTTACCGAAATCTTAGTTGTAAATATATAGTGGCGTTTCAATAATAAAACAAGATTTTTTAGTATTTTAGAATCGACTCTGACGCCACTTATATAATAATGACAACGTAAAATATTAACTCAAAATATAAAAATGACAACGTAACAAACATTAACACAACTTTCATTTTAAGAGAATGTCGAAGGCAAATACGAAGTTTGAATTCTACAAATTGGCGCCAAAATAATATATCTGGAATAACAACCAAATAATGTACTTTTGTGCAAAATGGATTGCACCATTCAATTTTTTTAAATAAATTTCCGTTATTTGT